TTAGTCAGTGAGTGTGACATGTTAAACAAATGTGGGTGGCAGAAGCTTTGATTCCAGGGGGCTTGTCTACGAGTTGAGAGCTGTGGGGTTTCTCTGCTGTCTGCCCTGTGTTCTTCCAACTGATGGTGTCAGGAATAGGTTCTTTCTCCTCTTCTTAGCCGCATATTTTCATGACATAGGCACATGACATCTTTCAGCAGTTACAACTGGAGGCTACAAATCTGATGTAAATAAATCCAACTTTCACAAACCTACATATGGTTTGAACTACATTAAAAAAAAAAAAAAATAGCCTGTTCCTGTACAGCTGCTCTTCTGCTCTGTATGGGTAGAAGTACTGGAGTACTGGGATCACAAGTACCATCTATGTGTTCATATGCAGTTTTGGTCACCAAAGATATTAAGCTCTTAGAGGGCATCCAAAGGAGGACAATGAAGATGGTGAAGGGCCTTGAGGGGAAGCTGTATGAGGAGCAGCTGAGGTCACTTGGTCTGTTCAACCTGGAGAAGAGGAGACTGAGGGGAGACCTCATTGTAGACTACAATTTCCTTGTGAAGGGAACAGGAGGGGCAGGCACTGATCTCTGCTCTGTGGTGATCAGTGACAGGACCTGAGGGAATGGCCTGAAGTTGTGTCAGGGGAGGTTTAGGTTGGATATTAGAAAAAGGCTCTTTGCCCAGAGGGTGGTTGGGCACTGGAACAGGCTCCCCGGAGAAATGGTCACAGCTCCAAGCCTAACAGATTTCAAGAAGTATTTGGACAACACTCTTGGGCACACGATATGACTCTTGGGTGTGGTCCTCTGCAGGGCCAAGGGTTGGGCTCGATGATCCTTGTGGGTCCATCCCTTCCAGCTGAGCATGTTCTGTGATTACCCTAATGTATAACTAAAATCTAGCAGGTAACATCTTCAAAGCATTTTATAAATTAATTACTTTAATTAATTAATTAAAGAAATGTCACAAACAGGAAAGAAAGTACTATAATAACAAAAGTAGCTTTATTTATATAATTGCTACTTTTTTCTAACTGTTTTCAGTAGGTCAATCTGGAATGTCTGTTTCAGAGCTGGCAGTCAGGTAATTGTCTCTTTTAAGAAACATTATTACAGAAGGAGTTCCCTGGACAGCATTTCTGTAAGAATACTCATGCAGAAGTGCAGAAGACTGCTGCCCAAGAGCATTAAGTTTGCTTAGGAATAATCTATATTGTCAGGAATGCCTTGAAAAATATCCAAGAGGGACTAGAAATCTTGTATTTGTAGAGCATGGATTTGTCAGCTATGAAAACAGAGGAGATTTTCGATTTGACTTCTTGCCCTGTTTGGACTACCTATGAGCTAACATAATTGCACTTAGAAGGAAAATTAAGAACAGAGCCATAGTATTTGTAGCTGAAGAAGGTAAAGAGCTAGTTTGCAGTATGGCCATAGGGCAATGCTAGTAGCTTACTTCTGATTTCATGGAATAAAGTAGGTGCTTTGCCATTTTTATTATTGTATGGTGAAATGGTCTCCATGTGTGGGTTTATAGTTACTGAAGGACTAAGATGCCATACCCTTGCTTTCCCTTAGGACACTCAGAAAGGGAAACAGCCTTTAATTCAGTTTTTCTTCAGTCTGCTTGAAGAAAATAGTTTCAAAGCAATACCTTGATATGACTGCTGAATGTATTTAATTGTGTTCCATAGTACTGAGGGCCAAATAACTCAGCAGAGAAATGCTGGGAGTATACTAAACTAGGATACAGTTCACTCTTTTAATCTTCTTTTTATTTCTTTTCTCCCTTTCCCCTGCCTTCCCTGCCCTCCTGACCTCCCTCAGCTTTGTCTTGGAGGTACTGGGAGTGCCCATTGATGAATATGAAATAGAATCTTATAGCCCCTGATAGCATTAAACATAGAGTGATAGAGGCTGGGAGCAGGTCCTGCCCCTCTTCTGTTACTGACTGCTCAAGCTGCATGTTTGTCGTGGACTCCAGGTGAACATTGCAGTGAAGGCAAGTGCTCGCACTGAGAGGCAGTGGCACTGCATGTCTTTAAAAACAGTGGTGTCTGCTACATGCCTGCTGCATTGCCAAAGAGAGACGTGGGGACATAGTGCAGTTACTCTTCCTGGCATTGAAGAGACAGAGCAGGCGGGAGCTGTAGCTGCTCCTTTTCCAGAACTGACTCCGTGTTAGTGGGAGCTCACGACACTTTCTGTTGGGCCCTGTCCAACACATGTACCTTCAGGCCCTTTGCAAACCAGGTGTTGCCTCTCTAATGAGTCTCAGTTTCTGGGCTGTGGGCCATGTAGCTGAAGACTACCACAGCTTAGCAGGACTGGCCCACGAAAGCTATCAGAAAGACAAATTCCACCTCCCAAGACTCTGGGCGGGCAGGCTGCCTGGAGGAGCTGCTCCTTTTGACTGCCTGGATCTTTCTCCCTTCAGACAGCTCTGTGTGAGAGCCACTAGATCTGCTGGGAGCTGTGGCACTAACATTGCACCTGGTGCATAGAGAAACTCCCCAGTTAAATACTGTCTGTGATCTTTCCTTAAGGGTTTTGATAGCACTTTCTCAAAGCCATGCAGGTAGTTCAGCAAATGCCAGCAACTTGTTTTTTACTGACTTGATGCCTTGCAGAGAAGAGTCGCATCTCTGCAGGTCCTGTTCTCTCATTAATCAGTCTGAAAGTCTAGTCCAGGTAGGTCATTCCCTCTACTTTGTCTGCCCCTTGGCACGGATCTGGGAATGTGGTGTTACAGGAGCTTCACTGCTCCCAGATTTTTCAGTGGTAATAGTTACTTTCTGGCCAAATAACTGAGAGTTACTGATCTAGAGACCAGTTAGCCGGCATCATTTGGGAGTCAGCGGATTGGAACTGAGTAGGAGGAGCTGCACCAGCTCATTTGCAGACTTTTCTAACCCTGCAACAATGTGAAGACAAAGCACCTTGATTAAAAACAAATAAAAACCTGAGTCTGGCATTCTTGGCTCAGTGAAAGCTCTCAGTTGTGCTTGGTGGGTGCCTGTTGTCCTAGTGCAGTGGAAATGTATTTCTTGTTTCTTTGTAGCTATTTTATCTCTTGGGAATGGTGCATTATTTTGCACTTGGTTATGCATATTTTTATATGCATATGTTGCTCGATGCATAAAAAATATGGTGTAATTTGATTTGTGTGTACGTATGTCTTTTCAAAGTAAATTCGGTCACAAATGTTTATTAGGTTAAATTAGTATAAACTGAGAGGTGTCGATATTGCCCAGTTTTCAATAATATTTTGCATTTTTTTAATACAATGATTATTTTATTCAGTCTAAATGAAATACATAGCAGGGTATATAATGCACTTATGCAGTAGGATCTTTATATAACTTAACCATAATACTGGGTTTAAGAAACATCCATCCATTTTTGTATATGAGTACTGAATATCACTATTTGCTTCATTGTTTTTTGTTTTTTGTTTCTTTTCTTTGCTTCTGCTGCTCTAGGATTTTGGCATCATGTTTACACATCACATTGTAACAGTCACCCTGATTACCTTCTCATATGTAACCAATTTGACACGAGTGGGAACCTTGATCTTATGTCTCCATGATGCGGCTGATATTGTTCTAGAGGTGAGCTAATACGTATGTCATCCTGTCAGTAGGTAGAATCTTTTTGCTGTGCAAAACAAGTATTTCCTAAGCTGAGTCCTGTTCAAGGTGGTAACGGTGATTAATATTGTATATTTGTTTAAATATATTACACTTGTAGCAATGCGTGTTTCTGACTTCAGGCTGATTTATCCCCTGATAAGTTGCTTGCACAGAGAAGAGACTGGTAATGCATTGCATGCCAGGGAGGCTTACACACAGATTTTAATTACAGCGTGATAAAATCAAGAGCTCAAAGTTGCAAAATCTGGGAAGTAACCAGGGATAGTAACCAGGGATAGAAGCTCCTGGTTCTTGTCTCTGACATGGGCTGAGGAGCAATAACCCTGTCTGCAAAAGAATCAAGGTGTCACTGTGTTTCTGCTGTGCTTTGCTGGACTGAGTGTGTTGGACAATTTAGTTCCTGTTTGAGCATGGGCAGTGAGCTGACCTCCGATTTTCCAGGGTCTCATGCCTCTGAATCCCAATGCCAGCATTAAGCATTTGGATTTCAAGGAAAAGGGATGATTGACATTCTTTTAAGTCAAAATGGTCTGCAACTTCCATAGCAACAATTTAGAGATGTTATCATCCTTTATCTGCATCAGTTATTAAACAGCTCTTGGTGATGCTGGGGTTGGGCTATCTATGAACTCTGCATCAGGATCAAACCAAAGTTAATAACTATTTTGTCTGAAATTATTTTTATTAAAGTACCTGCAAGGATCCTGTTATGTGAGAATATAGTGCCACTGGGTGAGTCCCCTGTTGCAAAATCAACATCCTGCCATTCTGATTCAATAGTAAATCCCAGTTGTAAATCTGGTTTTATTTTTTTTATCTTCTTTTAATCTAGAAGGCACATGACTGCCTGAGATAGAAAGCAAAAGAGAATGTGGAGTTCTCCTCATAGAATAATTGCATCTTTACACGTTTATTTTTCTCTTTTAGCAATGTGTGTAGCTAGCTGTGGCTTCACCTAAACTTTCTTCATTCTCCTTTTCTCACCACCAGCAGGACGTACTGAAGATGTTCATTCTAGATCAGATCAGTGTCTGTGGAACTATAAAAACAGCAGAGAGCAGCCATAATGGGCTAGCTAAAACCTTACCTTGAATACAGTGAGATAGATATTTTTGCTCAGTTCCTCTGTTTATTCACTGAAAAAGAGGAATTGCTGGTTTTCTCATGTGATTTGCAAACATTCAGCAAATACCCTTCCTCGTGAGGCACATACTTCAGTGGTCTTTCTGGTCAATTCTTTCAGTCTGTTATGACTGGAAATTCTGCTAGGGCAGTGGGGCATAGTCCTGGTGCCATATAAGAGGAGATGAACTCTTACACACTGCTGATGGTACCGAGAGGAAAGTCAGTGCAGAGGGAAAAAATGATCAAACTGCAAAAGAAGTTGGTTAAATATCCTGCCGTGATAGGTCAGTTGTATACCTGACCTGTTCTACCTATTACATATTTCTAAAAATGAAAAGCTATTTCTGGAAGCCACTAAACTCTTTCCACCTACCATTTCGTAATGAAACATGTCCAGTGGAAAGCTGGAATGAAACATTTTTGCTATTCTCATTGCAGAAGGTAATGTGAATTGGTGGCAATACAGAAGGTGAGGTTTTTTCCTACAGGTGTTAAGGCTTTTGTAGGTATGGAAGAATCATGGTAGGATATCAGGATTTATAGCTGTTTTCTTAGGTCTGAGTGAAAGTTATCTTGGATATTCAAAGCAGTATAGCCATGGCAGGACATATCAAACGTAATTTGCTTACCTAGGAAGCCATTACATTAACGTAAACTGAAATCTAGGCCTCTGAGAAGCTACTTTCAGAGTCGAATCCCAGCTACTCGTTTATGTGGTCTTGGGTATACTTACAGTGCAGTACAGCTTGTGGGATGAAAACTCTGTGACCTAGCATGTTGAAGCACTTACAATCCCACTTATTTCGAGACCTTGAGACTTTCCAACTTCAATTAAAGAGCACTGACAGTTTTAATGCTAGTCTGTGCATGTGAGTGGTTGCCCATGTGTGAAGTCACAGTTCAACTTGATTCCTTTCTGTCAGGTTCCATCTATCTCCTAACATACTTTTATGAAAAAACAGGGAATGGAAACTTCAGACTAAGGCAATAGCTCTGCTGTAAAACACAGGTATTTAAACAGACACACTAGCAAGAGTATATGAAAGAACTGTGTTACTCAATTGCAGTTACAGTTTTTAAGCTCTGAAAATTGTGTTGTATTGTCTTAGGTGGCCAAAATACATCCAACAGCAACATATTCTTTCCCTTTTTTCTTTTTTTTTTTTTTTGGTAGTCTTTTTTAATCTATAATTTATAGATTTGTTACTTGAGAACTGATGACCCAACAGCTGTACTGTTTTTGAGAACTACAAGTTGCTATAGCAATATCAGCTCCATGCACTATGAAAACAGCTTTTTACAGTGCTGCCATGGAAATACATGCAGAATTCCTACGTGAACTTTGAATCATCTGAAAAAATCAAGGAAGTTAGTAATGCTTCTGCTTTACATGTTGCCACCAAAATGTTTTCTTTTCCTTAAACCAGGCTGTGAGTAAAAAACTGCTAGGAAACTAGCACCAGGTCTGATTCAGAAGGGTTATGTTTTCTTTGGAGCAATGGTGGCTTTCCACATGTTTTTTGAGCTTCCTAACTTGGTTTCTGTTAGTGAGGAATATTCTTTATATTCAGGTTTTTAGTTGAAACTTGCATTTGGTTTTGGCATCCAGATTGTTTGATCCTCTAGCTGGAATTCTGCATTTAGAATAGTATTTTCTATGCATAGTTGTAGTAATTTTGCTCCCTCTTAGTCCTCTGGAAAGTCTGCACAAGTATCTTGTCAGTATGGGAGCTGAATACAGGTCCCCTCAGAGAGGGCTTTGAAGGGGCTCCCAGTGACTTCAGTGGACACAAAATCAGACTCATGTACTTCATTGTGCAGTGACTCTCTGGATACATTTGACAGAAAGTGTGAAGAAAGACTGTCCCTGCCTTGAAACAGATGTTATTTTAAAATAATTAACTGCTTACACACATGAACACCATGGAAGCAGCAGTGATATCTGAAAACAAGCTTGCTTGTACATACCATTTACTTCAGGGAGGAGAAGCTAAACAAACTTCAGGGAGGACCAGTGTTTTTAATAAGGAGTAATTAGTCCTTCAATGGGGAAGAGTTAGAAGACTGCATGAAAACAAATGAGAGAGGCATGTAAAAATAGGCATAAGGCAACAAGCTGGAAAGGAAAAGTTGGAAAGAGAGGGGAGGAGAAAAGTCTTTGAAAAAGACTTGAAGAGGAGTGATATAATCTTTGAGGTGGAAACTGTTCTGTATAGGCCAGAAAGGAAGAAGAGATGCTTTAGGAGAAAGTAGGGTATGGGGCGTAGTAGAGGAATTGAGACTGCTGGAAGGTCAGAGAGCATGGAGTAGAGGGAAGGTAGATGGACATTGAAAATGCAAGTAGAGCATACTGCTAAGGTGAGAGACAGGTAGGTAAAGAGACTGGGGACAAGAACAGCATAAACACAGTGGGGATCAATAAAAGGTTTAGAAGAGCTTTGTGAATCTGAAGTTGTAGGGTCTCAAAAAGGAAATTGAATGGGGGATAAAGAAATTAGATACTTACTCTAGCTTTATGCAGTGTGGTTTGTTTTTTCTTCAAAGAAGACATTTTCCAGCTGCTTAGTAGAGAGGAGCTACAAGATCACTATGAGGTGGCACAATGAAAATGTGATTTCATAAAAATCTGATTTCTTCTCTTACAGCTTATACACAAGAAAACTCAGTTTTCCTCACAGAAGTAAAAAGACATTTCTTTCTTTTTCAGGCTGCCAAAATGGCAAATTATTGCAAGTGTCAAAAGCTGAGTGACCTTCTGTTCCTCACATTTGCCATTGTCTTCATTGTCAGTAGGCTTGGCATATTTCCCTTATGGTGAGTAAGCACATCATTGTCCTCGAATGCTAAACACCAAACAAGCTTGGAAATAACTACGCTGTAATTGAACATGATTCATTGACATTACTCTGTTTTCCACAGCACCAAGGAGAGTTACAGACATAACCAGGTGCTCAGTAGCCTATTTGCTAGAATGCCATTGTGTTTACTGTGTGCTGGACAAGAAACATATGGGGCTTCTGCTGATGATAAGGTAGAAGTGCATAGGAGACAACATATCTTCAGGTTAGAAGTTAGTCAGCTGTGTTGTCAAAAAGTTAGAGGAAAATTAAAATAATAGTCACCAAAAACACTGACCAAAGGCTAAGATTGAAACTGGGATATTCTCAATAGCTTTCAGTGCACACTTTATGAATGTGTTCAGATTAAAGAAAATTACAGTGAACTAAGTAAAGTCTGGCCTGCTTAAATTGGTGTAAGGATGTTATTGTCATGCAGATTGCAATACTGCAGGCTACTCCTTTTCCACCCCTCGTTTGAACTGAGGTTCCTGGGGCAGCTGTGTAATGCATACATCTGTAAGGCTGTTAAACAGGTGTTACTGTAATCTCACCTCTTCCCAAACAAAGACAGCTGCTTGCACGTGCACATACTCTTTCTTCTAGGTACATACACAAGCATGCACACAAGTGGAACATAGATGTTTGATTCTTTAGCTAGGGTTTTTAGCATCCAAAAGGCAGCTGGCTAATGAGAAAATACACTGATATACTTCACTGCAGAAACTCATTCAAGTTTCTTTGTAAACCTGTGCACTATATATGAGGAGGGCTGAAAGAAGGCATTGGCCTTGCTCTTTTCTTTTCTGGATCCTTCCTTTCTCTCGTATGAACAGAACTAACACAAATCTCTCTGTTTCTCTGTATCTTATGAAAGTAAGAGGTGTCTGTCATTGCATTTGAAAATAACAGCGATGAGATTTTGTTCTTGGGAAGCACCACAGACGCCAGAAATTTTACCCTTTGCAGAGTGTGTTTAGAGAGATTACCACCAAGCTCCTTGCTTAAGCATGCAGAGTGGATCTGTGGATGCCAATGTCAACCTCCCTGCCATGCTTGCCTTTGAAATCCTCTATAATAATATCTCTTGGGGTTTTGTTAATGCAAACAAGATAACACTAAGGTGCCCTCAGGGACCTGTGTCATCAGCTCTGCTTAACAGTACAATGTAGAAGTCTCACTTAATGACTCCAAAGATAATGTCGTAATGCCTGGTCCCTACTGCGCTGTGAGTTGGCGAAGGACCATGACGAAAAAAGAAAATGGATAGACACACTAACTGCATGTTTAGAAACACTTGTTAATTGTTTCTTGAACAGCTTTGCTTCCTTTTCTTCAGTCCTTCCTTGAAGCCAACTTGGCTATTCACTGAATTTCTGTAAATGAAGTAAGCTAGTCTTTCCACTTTAATGATGTCAGATAGAAACAATGGTGGCCCTCCTGCTCACTGGATTTCATCTGTCTCTTCAATTCTCATTTATATTGAGAAATGGAGGGAGGACCCAATTTCACCAGTTCATTTCTGCCACTGGAGACTGCAGTACATGACTCTGCTTCAGAGGAGGCTCAGTCAGGTGATGACAGGATGAAAGGGGAAATCATACTTGATAACCATCTGTGATGAAATTACTGGCTTGTAATTACATAATCCAGTAGTTACTGGATGATGGGGCAGAGTGCACCCTCAGCGAGTTTACTCACGTTGCTCCTGTGGGAAGCAGCTGATGCACCAGAGGGTTGTGCTGCCATCCAGAGGGAAGGAACTTCAAAAAGATGGAGAAACAGCCAACAGGGACCTCAGAAGTTCAGCAAAGAGAAGTTCAAAGTCCTGCCCCAGTATTTTCTGGAGGCTGACCAGCAGGAAAGCACCAAAGGAACGGGCAGTTCCAGTGGAGCCAGCCAAGTG